CTCTGAGCTTTATAATTTCCTGCCTTCTTTGGGCTCTGGGTTTGACTTGCTCTTCTTTTTCTAGGAACTTGAGTTGCAGCATAAGATTGTTTATTTGTGCTTGTTCTGTTTTCCTGAGGTGGGAGTTCACCGCTAGGTGAGCCTTTTAGAGCTGTCAGTAATACAAATAGTCTGCTGCAGCATATGTGCCATAGGTTTGCCACTACTGATAGATGATTTTGTTGTAAGTTGCTTAGAGAACATTATATAGCATTAAAAGCAGACTGCTTTATAATTTAGAATTGCTTGCTGTTGATTTATAGTCTGCTAAAACTGTTTTCTTTACCATTGAAATAATATTTGGCTTCAAATTTCTTTTTACAAGCCAAATAATAAGCTTATTTTTGTGATCTCTTAATTGCCTTTCTCAGTTTTTCTCTGAATTGTACCTTTAGCTTAAGGTACATCCTATCCCAGAAACACCTTAATCTTCATTTTTTTCTGATCCCCTGACATGTAAATTTCCTTCTAAGCCTCTTTCAGCTCATTCAGAGCTGTTTATTTTCTCTGAGTTGTCTTTCTCAAGCTTTATTCATATGAACAAACTTACAAATTTATTATCTTTTATGTATTTTTTTCAATTAGGATAGACTTCCTTTCCTTTTTTATCAGGGTATCTATATTTACTTCTAAGGTTTTCTCTTCTCTTTGTATATCATCTTATCAGTCATTCTGTTGGGACTTTCTTAGAGCTTGTATGTGGTATACCCATATCTCAGACCTCTTAGGAGAGTGAAAAATTATTCTTATAACTTTTGGTGTATTAAAAGGTTAAGCTACTCAGGAGGTTGAGGCAGGAGGATTGCGTGAAGCTGGCCTGAGCAATTTAGCAAGTCACTGTCTCAAAAAGTAGCTCAATGGAAATGTCCTGGGTTCAGTGTCTACTACTAATACAGATAAGATAGATAGACTGGTAGGCAGGCAGGCCAACTGGCTAGCCGGGGGATATAGCTCAGTGGTAAGGTGTCCTTGGGTTCAATCCTCAGTACCAAAAAAAAAAAGAAAGAAAATTTCTACACATACAGTTCTTTTAAATTAATTGAAGGTTATCTTCTTTAACTCTTCCTTGGTATGGTGAACTGCCTTTTGCAAAGGTTTTTCTGTATTGATCTCTGACAGGTTTGATTTCTCTGTAGGGATAATTTCTTAAATGTAGATATTTGCTGGTTTTTGCAATACTAGTTTAAGGACTTGTATATTCTGTAGTATTGAGTGGTAAGTGGTCTTTTTTACCAACTTACTGAGTCAGTTTTTGTGCAGGGTACTGTGGACACTTGCAAAGTTGAGCTGGTACCTGTGTGCCAGAGTCTAATCTAACTGAGAGTGGCACTGCGTGTGGTATTGGTGAGGAGAAGCCAGCTGAGCTGACTGAGTGCTTTTGTGGTATATATTTTGTACCTGTTGCTGGGCTCCAACCATTTAACAGAAGTACATATTGATGTCAGAAACTCACAGGACTTAGCTTATTATACCTTTAGCACTTACATTTTAAAATGTTTCTCCAGTGAAAGCATACTTGCTTCTACCCCTCCTTCAGAGTCATTTTATAATTTTGGTACTGTGTAAAACTACATCTCTTTGTAATTAGCTTAGGAAGGATGTGATCCAAAATTCTGAAGATACTGCATTCCTACTTAATCATGCTATTTCCCAAAACATTTTTTTGTCCATTATCTTGTGACTACATTTATTGCCCCATATAAGAAGACATCTCAAGAGGAATCTCACAATAAGTGAAAGAGAGCACATTATGTTTTCCTTATAGAGAACTCCTTTTTTCTATTCCCAAATGTAGCTCTTGTGGCCCTCATTGCTTCTCATTGCTCCTATTTTCTGAATCTTAGTAAGTCCTGTCTTTCTCTTCTTTTCCTGTGCTCTTATAAGTAAGGCTGAAGAGAAGAACATTAGTTCTTCCATAAAAAGAAGGATGAAGTCACAACTAGATGCAAGATTAGTCAGTTTTGTCTGCCCAGTTTTATTGAGAGCTACCTCTGGGAAAAGAAAAGGGACTTGTCTGTGGTGAGTAATACCATTTCATCTATATAGTCTCTTTCATATAGTAGATGGACAAAACCACAAGTTTTGTAAGTTTATGGAAATGTCAAGTTTTAAAAGTCTGAGAAATTATTAAAAGAGGAAACAGTAAAGACAAAACTAGGAGAGGCCCTTGGAAAAAAAATAACCAAGAGAACAGATGGCTGAACACAGGAAAAATTGTATTAGTCTTATAAACAGCTCTTCTGTAGATTCTGTTTTTGTTCATTGTTCATCATTTATTCACATATGTAGTCTTCACTTCTGTATAAATGTGTTCTGCACCAACAGTGCTTTGTGTTTGGTACTAGGGTTATAAGAAAGACGTTATTTTTTATAAACGCGAAGATTTGCAATGAAAGGAGAAAATCATTCTAGCAAAACTGTGATATTTAAAGGTGTGATATATCCTGTTCTTTGTGTTTTTCCTTAGAATGCTGAGTTTAATAAAACAAATACAAAAACTTAGTTTTTATTCTTACATTCATTTAAAAAATTTTCCCCTTAGAAGGAAGTGTCTAAGAGGAAGTTTTTGCATTCTCTCCTGTCTCAGCTCAAGTCATTACCTAATCTACTGATTTCTTTACTTTTAGTTGAGAAGTTATGGAGTAACCTGGATGTGCAAAAATTTTAGTAGACAGTTAAAACATCTGACGTTTGGCTAGGTACTAGTACTCTTACCTCCTAAAGCACTCAGTTTAGACAGAAAGCTAAGATGTTATTTGGCTGGAGATTAGCCCACAGGCTCATAATTTCAGTGAAAATTTGTTTTCTTATAAAAAATGGGGATGAGTTCAGTGGTAGATTTGCATTTGAATTTATAAATTGAGCAGTGTAATACATTTAGCAGCACTGCACTGATAGTGCAGGTTTTTTTTGAGGCAAGGCCTATGTAGTTCAGGCTGGCCTTGAACTTGTGGTGATCCTCCTATGCCTCAGCCTCCTAAGTGCTGGGATTACATGTGTGCACCACTGCACCTGGCTTGATACTGCAATGAGAACAATAAAAATGAACAATAAAAATACTTTAGATGTAGCTGGCAATAAAGCTCATAAGTTAAAATACAAATAGTAATAAAAATGGTGCTCTGATACTTGAGAAAGTATTTCCAGATTGTTATTTATGTGGCAGAGCATTATATTATATTTCTCTGTACCTGCATGTGAAGGACATATACACAAGATAAGTTCATTAAGTATAATTGGTTAATCCAAATGTGCATGTGTGGCACACTTTGAGATGACACCATAGTCCCTTTTGCAAAGGAAATGTTATATATACAATTTTTACCTCTTCTTATTTCTACAATATTAATTTTAGAGCAAGAATTCCAAGTAAATTGTTTGACTTTGATATTTCAAATTAATTCTTATTTTCAGAATGCCAACTAATATTTTCTCCAGGAATGAACCCTAGAAGACTATCACTAAATTTCATTTATCAGCTTGTATTTCACACTCTTAGATCCAATGAGAACATAAATGTGACTGTCAGAAGTAATGTCTAATTGTTGTGTGTTTAATTCTAACTTCCTTGTTCTGATCAAATTCCAGGCTGCCAAGATATTGCAGATGAGTTCAGAGCACAAGAGATTGATGGGCAGGCCCTTCTCTTGCTAAAAGAAGACCATCTCATGAGTGCAATGAATATCAAGTTAGGCCCTGCTCTAAAGATCTGTGCACGCATCAACTCTCTGAAGGAGTCTTAACAGGAACATGGGCCTCTGATGTAACACCAGTTTTACTCGTCTTAAACAGACTCATAAGGTAAAGGCCTAATCTGGCCTAAAATACTACCCTTGTTATGATGGATGGCCAAGCACATTGAGATCTCCACATCAAAAGCTGACATTTCTTCTACAGATAAAATCATTGTACATTTTCATAATTAGTCAACATTGGTGAAATTAATTTTACAGCTTACATGCAACATTGAGAGACTTGTTATAGAGGGCCATGGTATTTTTTAAAGAAACATGTTATACAAGATAATTTTTTTAAAAGTGATTTTATCATTAATATAAAGAACCCTTTTAAATGTAATTTAATGATTTACATTTCTTTTGATTGTTTCCTTATACATTTTTTTGTACCCTATTAATTTTCTACAAATTGTCATGGAGATATTAGATAATTTAGGAGCCCAGTAACAGAATCATCTATAATGAAATACCAGTTTGAATTTAAAAACCATGTCTTTTAGACAAATACTTTGTCTCTAAGAAAATATGGTATGGTAGCATGAATAATACAATCTGGAGATCAAGAGTTGGTTTCTATTCCAGACTTAAGAATTTGGCTGGAGTGACAAAGTTTTCCTAATTTAGAGCAGTGATTCTTAATGGAGGACAGGTTTGCTCTCCAGAGAACATTTGGAAATGTCCAGAAATATTTTGGTTGTCACAGCTTGATGTTGCTCCTGCTGTCTAGTTGGAGGAGGTCAGAGACATTGGTACATACCCCTCAGTGTATAGGACAGCCCTGTATTGTAAGGAACTGTCTGGCCCAGCAGTGCCAAGGTTGAGAAACCCTGATAAGGCAGGGAGTGATAAGTGTTCCTCTTTTCCACCCAAAAGGAGATGTAAAAGAAGGGACATAATAAGGGATACATATACAATGGGAGTGTTACTCAGAGAATATTAATGTTCTGAAATATTTTTCCAAATTTATTATGTATAAAGGAGGGAAAAACATAAAATTGGCCTAAAAATAAAGACTAGCTTAGAAGTAATTTGATTCTCAGTACTGATTCATATTATCTTTCATATCTCTGTGCCCCTTTGCACTGATGAAGGCATAACACAATTATACTGATGATCCATTGCATCTTTTCTGGCAAGAAAAGTTTGCAGTGGATGTGTGATTGCCCTTTGGCTTTTTTTCTAATATTGAACGTGCTGAGTCTAGTTAGAATGCACATTCCTTTTTCCTTTACTAAATCTTTGCATGCATCCTGCAAAGCACTTACCGAATGATTTCTCTTGGATGATCATATCTAATTTAAATTTGTTTTTACTTCACTGAACAGTTTTCTATAGATGTGTGACACTAAAACAAAATCATGGGAGTACCGAGAACTTTATAGTCCTGGACATCAAAAGTTTTTGAGAAGATTATGCAGGTTTTGTTTTAATTGCTTTTATCTTTACCCCATGATTGAGATATTTTAATAATTGAAGGAATAATACACACTGATATTTGGCCATAGAAACTCAGTAAATGAATATAAAGTGAGCATATGAGTTTCAGTCATTTTCACTGCTCTTTTCCAAAAGATTTTGTTCAGCTAGTAGAAAATCAAAGATGTCACTAAAGACATCACAGATATTTATCTTTTGGCTTTGTGTACATTAGAAAATGTTGATTATTTTTATACTAAAATACAGCGGGTAATTTTTTTAATCTTTAGATGCCTCTTGTTTGAATGTATGCTTTGTGGGATTCTTTGTGTAATAATGTTTTAAAAAACGATGTTTATTGATAGTCATGTGTAGGATTAGATTATGTAATGTAATATAAGGCTCATGTTCCAGACCCACAATAGCTTGTAGTCTATGTTACATATTTCTTTGTATCACATTTTTAATTACTGGATTAAAGTTTCAAGGAAAGGTAGTACTCTATAATCAGTTTTCATTTATTAGTAATCATGATGGAATTGCAATTTCAGAATGTATAGAGTAAGCAGTAGTAAGAGATTGCCCATTGGATGTGAAGGAGGGAGACACAAAGGAAAATCTCCCCTGGAATTAAAACTTTAATGTAGGTGAAACTGATTATTCAGGGATAGACTCCCCTAGCAATAATGATTATTTCTCTTTACTGTTTTAGCTATAGTCTTCAAAGTGTTAACTCTGAATCATGTTTTAAGTTTTCCTTTTACTTACTTACTGTACTAATACCAGTTTTTGGTACTTAAGCCCCTGTGCCAAGCACTGTGTTTATAGTTGTTTTATTTAGAGTTCATTTACTCCTCTCCACTGGTAGTTCTACCATTGATGCACCTATGTTTGTCTAGATGATGTAATCACCTTAATTTCAAAACTTCAGGTACATATAATGGATATATATGGAACATTGGCTGTCCCCCTCTCTTCTGAGCTTTGAGCCATGTCAGTATGATATAGGTAGGGAGAGTGCTACTATTTCATTCCTTTTTGCATTACTAAGTGTTTTAGGACTGGGAAAAAAGAATGACAAGCAGATAGGAAACATGGGAGGTTTTTCCTATTTTTGCTACCTATATTTGCATTTTCTGACTTTGAACTGTTGCACTCTTTTCCCATTTGGGAGAAAATCACAATTTTTATTTACTTTAAGCTTTGTATTCCTAGGAAAGTAAACAGAGTGAGAGCTGGTTTATAAATCACAATTTTTATTTACTTTAAGCTTTGTATTCCTAGGAAAGTAAACAGACTGAGAGCTGGTTTATAAAATTATTTTTGTATGACATTGCTGTTCATAAATCCTTGCATAGACATGTGTAAGACACAGCTATGGCAGCTTTGATATAATCAATATAGCATGAGACAGACTACTGTACCCAAACCTGTCATCTTTATAGTGGCATATAACTCTTTTAAATTGGTATGGAATCCTCTAAACAGAATGTCTTTTAGGTCTCCATTGAAGGGCTGTCATCTAGAAGCAGAGAAGGTAGAACATGAGGAAGAAATGTTAGTGACCCAGCTTGAGAACAGGAATGAGGTAGACAAGGACACCTGCCAATCCTGTTAGTTTAGCTCACTTCAACACTGAAAAACTGTCTGCACTTTTGATCATAATATTCATTTTTTACCTAGCTTAAAATAGAACATTTTTTAGGTTAGCCCATTGTTTATTTTTGCTTCCTGTTGTGTTGAAATGCTCAGAACTGTATGAAACAAGTATTATTGTGACCATGCTTTGAATAATTTTTTTACATAGTTTATCTTCATGTATTAAATGTAAAATTATAAATCAGACATCTGTTCAGAAATACAAATCTTGGATTGAAATTTGTCATAGTGCCCCCTCTCTCACTGGCTTCTTCAGTTGTGTATTTTAAAGTCCAGGGTTTACATTAGCAGGATTTTGGTACCACCATGGTATAAGTATGGTAGGGAAGCAGGAGAGTCATATAGTGTTAGGCTAGTTTCATGGGTATAAACAATTTTGGAAAGAGTAAATTATTATAGATGTATGTTAACAAAGCTGACCTTAGAGCTCTGTTTGGTGGATGAAATTTCTGACTTGGAGACACTATTAAAATGTTTTAAGGATACATATTTCAACCAGAATAGGCTGCTTTTACTTTAAAGACTCTCACCCTTGGTGAATGGCAGGAACACATGCTGCCTACATTGCACTGTGTCTTGGCTAATGGCATTAAAGGGCCTCACTTCACTTCCTCCTCTAAAGTTGCTTTCAGCTCCCAAAACTGCATGAAAACTTCTTTGGGGGACCTTTACCTGAAAAATATTGGATAAGGTTTTGTGATGAGGCTAATTTTAGAGAGGGAGGCAGCCTGGGCACCCTTTCTAATACTCTACTTAGCAGCCATGTTTCAGTGAAATCTTTGGGTAGTAGAAACTAGCCTAACTATGCACATGTTTGCTCAGCCTGTTTCTTGTGTACCATATATGTACCTAGCTGTGTCCTCTGGAAGGATTTCTGAGAGGAAAAGTGGGAATTAGAGGAGGAGATAAATAGGAAGACAAAAAGTATTTTAGACCAAAAGGATAGCACAGTAAATTAAGTGAAATCATCTAGTGTGTGTGTGTATATATATATATATATATATATATATATATATATATATATATATATATATATATATATATGACTTTCATCAGTAGTTCAAAATAATTATAGCTGTTGGGTTCCCATTATGGTAGTATAGAAGTTTAGGATCTTTTGTTTGTTGGTGCTGGTGACTGAATCCATGACCTTGCACTTGGCTCCTGAACTCTACTTCTATCCCCTATGATTTGTCAAGATTTACCTGAATAAAATGTATTCTTTTACTCCCTTTACACTGATCATGACCTTAGGAGCATAGATATTAATAGTTCCCGTGACACATAAATTAGTGATTTTTTTAATTTTTGAAGATGACAGCTATTATATTTTTATTTTATTTTATTATTATTATTATTTTTTGTTTTTCTCCGGTACCGGGAACCAAACTCATGACCTTGTGCTTGCCAGGCAGGCACTTTGCCGCTGAGCTAAATCCCCAGCCCCGACAGCTATTATAATTGGAGGATATTTGTCAAAAAGCTCAAAGGCTGTCATGGCCAGATTTATAGAGGAGAGTTCCCACGTTGAGGTACCATATTTGAACCAACTATATAGATTATTATAAAGAAAGTCATTTTAAAATAGTATTTTGTTAGGTTGTGTCTCAAAGGAGTAGTTGACTAAAAGTTGTAGGGTTTCTCTTTACTAGTCCCAATTTCAGTAACACAAGCATAGCTCCATTTTTAGGTGTAAAGCAGTATGGATCATAACATGAATGGTGTAACCTACATTTATCAGTACTGGTATTTTGTAAATCTAGAGTATTCAATTTTATCTCAAAGACTGATTCAATTTAGACAAGCACAAAGACAGTATTAGGATGAGTTTATATACCATCCTACTAAAGTTTAAACCTGTGACATTGCACATCTTACAAAAATTGGGGTGATACCTTCTTTTGTTAGAAATTTATAAAACGTATCACCATATAGTTTGCTTCATAGCAGCAATACAAGCCATTTTTTCAAAAGAAAGTTTATTAAACTTTCGAAGTTTTACACTTTTTAGCACCTGTTTAACTTCTTTAGAAATTATACCATGACGAAGGTGTATTGTGAGGCACTGATGTAATTACTGTCATATTCCAGAGGAAACCATCTGGCAAGTCCATGCCCTCCCTTCTCTGCACAGATGCTTCCCATTTTGCTCCCTATTTTACATGCACAGCCCTACTGTCATGTACGTGGAACCTTTGGGGAAGGGTTTGCCACACATGTTTCGGGGTTTTTTCCTTTTCTTAGCTTGCAAACATTTCATCTTATTTAAAGCTGATGATGGTTTTAATCCTAAAAGACGTACAAAATGATGGCTAAAGGTATATAGCTTTATTAGAAAAAATTTTTGCCTTTCAAAAGTACTGTTGCTCTCAGAGATATGGGTGGTATTCAGTTTGACTCTATAGGAAGAATAACATGTTTAAAGCAGTCTAGAAGTGAATAATATTAATTTGGAAAAAATTAATATAATTTAAAACACTTGTTATGCTAGGGAATGTAGTAAATCCTTTCAAGCCATCCAACTTAAACTGTAGTAATCATTTTAAGGATAGTAGATATCATTTATTGGCTTAAAAGTTATACTTCACAGATTATTGCCTATTAAATTCATGGTTTGCAGAGAATTAGCAGGACTGAAAAATTTGGTGTTTTGAGAGGGTGATGGGCATTGTAGCTATCATTGAAATAAACATCAACCTGCATTATTTTGTTTTGTTTTGTTTTGTTTTGGAGACAGGGTGTTGCTATGTAGTTCAGGCTGGCTTTGAATGCTCTATGTAGGCCAGGTGGCCTTGATCTTGCAGTGGTCTTCCTGCCTCAGCCTAAGTGCTGGAATTACAGGTGTGTGCCACCATGCCCAGCCCTCAACATAGTTTAGCAAGAAGTTTTTAGTCTTGGGCCAAATAAACCAAAAGTGTCTAGGGTTTAAAATCTTTGTAGTGCTTGTCTTAAAAATATTCTTTTTCTTCATTTGGGCATTAAAAAAAAATGAGTAAATAATCTGTCAGTAGTGAATACCAGATAGTCTCATTGAATTAACATGATGAATGAAGATAAAGCTCACTGAGCTGTTGACTGAATTTTCACCTCAAGTTGGTTAACTAGTTGTGTGTGACACCTTGGGCAATTACATAATCTTCTAAATGTACAGTATTGTGCCTGCACTACTCAAAATGTGTATTCTGGCTTATAAAGCATCTTTAAGGTCTGTCCCAGCTCTGCAGTTACAATGCTATACCACATAATGGAGTATTTAAAAAACTGCATCTACTCTGTTCTCTTTTGCTTTTTAATGGTTCATTTTATACTTAAGAGCTTTGGCTAAAAGATTATTAAGCATCTATTTCCCAGGTCACTTTACAGTATTTATTCTCTTCAGGATTGAGGTAGACAATTCACAAAGATAAGCAAATAAGGAACTTATTCTAAATGCTACCTGTTGGTTAACCATGGAACACATGGACACATGAGTGTTGTCATTCATACAGTTAGACATTCTTTTAACAAACCATTTGAATGCTCATATCGTGTGGTATACATAACTAAAAAACTAACAAGTAAAATCTTCCAAAAAATTCCTTGTGGCTTAAATAAACATAATTATTAATACTTCGGATTTTTTTTTTTTTTTTTTTTGAGACAGGCTTTCACTATGCAGTTCAGGCTGGGCTTGAACTCACTTTGTAGCCCAGGTTGGCCTCAAATGCACAGTGATCCTCCTGCCACAGCCTCCTGAGTGCTGGGATTACAGATGTGCACCAAGATGCCCAGCATAATTAATATTTATGAATGGACTACATTTGAAATGGAGACGGAATGTTTTATGCATTGGGTAAAGAATTAGACCAGATGACAGTCACACCATAATTCCTGTAACACACTTCATATACTGCATATCAGTTGACCACATATGAGATTACAAAATTAAGAGCACAATTAACATTAACAGCTTACATTTTGAAACTCTTGGGGTAGCCAATATTCCATAGCATTATTTTGACCTTTGAATATGCTTAAGAGTTGCTGATAGACAGGGCGGGTGACAGGACAAAAGTCGCCGACATTGACTTGTTGTACATTTCTAACTGCAAAAACTTTATATCCATTATTGGCAGTGTAGCAGTTTTTGAAAACTGAAAAATCTCAAAGGAAGTCACCAGAACAGGCTTTTTATGTGTGATTACACACAAATTTTATTGTATTTTAAGACAGTCAACTTTTAAAGCTATGTAAGAATCAGTAATAGAAATTATATATATTGCAGTAAGACAAGGTACCCTTTAAAATGCAGAACTGTCAAAACCATTTGCTTGAATTGACAAATATTTGGGGAGTAAACATTGAAAGGGAGAATCAGTTTTTAATGGAGTAAAATTCCTCTAGGATTTGAAATCACATTGTAATTCCATCTTTAAATAGTAGTATTAGTTGATATTAACATTCATGAAAATATATTTTAAAATTTTTACATTCATAGTTGCAGCTGAAGCAGGAAAACATCCAAGTGTTAGATTAGAATCTATACTAGACTCTTTTGACTGATTGAAACAGGAACACCAACGTCTAAATTGCCAGATAATCTGGGTTTTATAAATTGTTCCATGGTACTGGTTAAAATTTATCTTTGATATGTTTTAATTTTTAAAGTGTACTTATTTGTTCAAATATTTATGCTGTTAAAATACCTGTTGCTTTTTTGGTATATGTATTCTTAAATTTTAGAAAAATCCGTTGAGTACAAAGGTGGTAGTTTTGGATATATAATTTCCAAATTGTGACTAGATTCTCCATCACCTCATTTAAAGGACTTGTCTTTCTGTTTTTTCCATGAGGGGAAAAAAGTGAGTTCCAAAAACTATTCTCAAGGTAAGGGTTATGCTTGTAGTGAAGGTTGGATGTTATGGACAGCAGTGTACAGAGAGAAACACTTGACAGTAGTGAAAAGCTATAAGGTGTGATCAGAGATTAGTGATTTTTTTTCATTTCTTAAAGACACATTGCTATTAATTCCCCTCAGAATACTCCTCCTTACTTCACACACTTATCCCATCATTTTTGCCACTTTCTGAGGCAGTTCTGGAAGTCCTCTGTCATGAGTGTTTTTATTTACACTGTCATGGCTGCCTCTGCTTGAATTAAAACGGTTTACTTCTAATGTTCATTTTTACTTTGGGAAAGAGCTAGAGTTGCGTGGTGCCAGATCTGGTAAATAAGGTAAATGAGGACACGCTGTAATGTTTTACCAGCCTGGCTCTGTTGGGTAGCACTCAGTGGCAGCATTCACTTTATTTTTCATGATACCTTATAAGACACAAAAGAGGACTTCCTGAAGTGCTTGAGAAAATTTAGCAAGAATGCTGGGATAAGTGGGTTTGAAACAAGGGGAAGTATTTTGATGGGGATTAATGGCAGTATGTCTTTCATTGTAATAAATTTTTAAAAATTTAAATATTCATCATATATTTGTCATACCTTTTATTCAAGCCTTAATTTAATTAGAATTTGTCTTTTTGCTTTAAAAACTTTCGTTAACAAAAGCAAATCATTGCACCAAGCTTTTTCAAATTTTTGATAATTCTAGCACATTGGTTTTTATTTCTCCTTTTGGTTCCTCCCATTTTCTAAAATAGGACTTTCACATTATGAAACCTCAAAAGATGATCCACCCAGGGTAAACAAAGCATCACCAAGGGAAAGAACTTTTTTATCTTTACAGAAAACAAAATGTTAAGATTATATAGAGATGTATTCTTTACACTGAATATTGTATTAGAAACCTCCTTACAGGAAATGAAATAGTTTTTGCACTCTTAGCATTAGAATTCCTAGATTGGTCTCTATAGCTACAGTTTAAAAATGTATAGCCTGAAAATGAAGTTAATTTTACATTATAAGAGCACACCATGATTTATGTAAAAAGTGTTCATTTGGTGTATTTTTTTAAAAAAGAGAAGCACTTTCATATTAAATAGCATGGTTATGAATTTTAGATTTTCCTATTTGTTGTATCTATTGATTGAAGTAAAACTGAACATTCAAATATTTGTTGATGGCAACATTATCAAATGAAAGCACCTTATACTCTGCTGCTTAAATTTGCTTGTAATTGCACCTTTGTTACCTGCACATTTTCACATAGAATATTGTTGTAACATTGCTTCATGTGGGTCTGGATGGAAAACTAGTGGGCCTACAGGATCATTTATTTATATTGTTTATATTACATAATATATTGTAGACCAGTTGTAAGTTCATTTCTTTACAAATAAAGCCTCTTCCATTTGGCTGGTCTATTGAATTTTTTTTCCTTTATGAGATATGGGGAAATCTAAAAAAAAAGCTTAATAAGGGATTTAAAATAGTTATAAATTATCCTGGGTTAAAATTCACAAAATGTGTAAGTTGTTATTAGTCAAATTCAAATACTTCATTTTTACAGTATGGCAGGTTGGAAGATAAGGCATTCAGAGGAAAAGGTAAAAGAAATGGGGCCAGGTTTAGATCTTCAAAAGGTTTAAACACACCCTGTTGTTTATTTGACTGCAGGTTTATTTCTACTGAACTTTGGACACAGTTGGCTGTTTGCTTATTTGTTATGGAACAGTGTGATTTCTATTCCTGTTTTATTTTTTAATATGGTAGTATGCAGTATAGTGAATAGTTCTCTTCTTTGGAGTGTCTGTCATAAGGACTGTTACCAGATCCTTATGACAGGAGTGGCCGTATGATTCAAGTCTCACCACTCATTTTCTGGGGTTTTGTATCTGAAGAGGTGCTTTAAAGTGGAATAATAAAAGAGCTGGGCTCTTCGCAGCCAGAAGGCCCACCACGTGGACAAATGAAATCTGACATCCTAGAGATGTTCCTAGAATTTTGTTTTACCAGTGTTTCCAATACCCAACTTTTTCACAGAATGGTTCAGGTTGGGTTTGTATTACAGGTCGAGTATCCCTTATCTGAAATACTTGATACCACAAATTTTCCAGTTTGAAGTATCTGCATAAATTTTACCAACGGAGGATCCCCAAAAAGCTCCAAAATTCAAAACTTTTTGAGTGTCAGCACTTTAAAAAATTCAGATTTCAGAGCATTTTTGATTAGAAATGCTGAAACTGTACTTACAACGCAAAGAATTTCTAATTACCCAGCAGCATTTTTTGATTTGTCTTAGATAGCAAAAAGACTGTGTGCTCAAGTAAATGGTTTTCTTCTCTCTTGGGAACTCAGATCCTTAAAATGTTCATGGACATTGTGCATTTCAGGTGAAAGATAACTCAGAAACACGTTTCACCTTTGACTGAAACAAACCATTCTTTTGAGAAACAGTGACTGGAACTAATGAAGAGCAGTGTATCACAATGGTAAAGAGCACAGACTCGGGCCTGACTTCTGAGTTTGAATCTCACCCTTTGTCAACCCCCAGTCACTAGCTGTATGGTCTTTCAGTGAGTTTCTTAATTTTGAAGTTTTAATTTCCTTACCTGCAAGAGGAGGGTAATAATAGCATACAGAAGGGAGTTACAAGGATTAAATCAGTTGCTATATATAAAATACATAAAACAGTGCATGGTGTGTGTCTTTGCTGTTATTTGTGCTCCACAGCACTTGTTTTAGGACATTTATAAAATAATGGAAAGTAATTTATCTGTGGACCATAAACTCAATTTTGTGGGTCACAAATGACATTTGGATAATATATCTGTATATTATATCTGTAATACAACATGTAAGGACAAGTGTTATGACATACGTACTTAGGTACATAAATTGACATAACAAAGACATCTTTTTTTGTTTGTTTTTGAGACAGGGTCTCACTCTGTAGTGCAGGCTGGCCTCGAATTCACTGTGACCCTCCTGCCTCAGCCTCTTGAGTGCTTGGATTACGGCTGTAATCCAAGATAAGATACAGGCAAAAACGCGTATCTTACTATAAACATAAACAAAAGCCACCAGAGGTGGACATGGTGGCACACACCTGTAGTCCTAGCTACTTGGGAGGCTAAGGCAGGAGGATCACAAGTTTAAGTCCAGGCAGGGCTCAGTGAGGCCTTGTCTCAAAAAATAAAAAGGGCTGCTCAGTGTGAAATGCCCTGGGTTCAATCTCTGGGACCACAAAAACAAAACACGTTTTGAAAATGCTCATTTTAGGTTTACACATTTTGGTATATCTGTAAGTGTTAATCAGAATACTTACATGGCTTAATTCATAAAATGACCAGATTATTGTTTTACTCCAGTGGTTAACTTGGGCATTTATGCTCACCCACTAAAGGAGGTTTGGCAGTGAGTGGAGACATTTTGACTATTACTGCTGGGGAAGGAGGTGCTCCTGGCATCTAGTAGGCAGAAGGCAGGGATGCTGGATGCTTCTAATCCTACAATGCACAGAGCAGCCCTGCCCCGCAACAAAGAATTACCCAGACCCAAATCTCAATAGTCTCACAGCACAGAAACCCTGCTTTTACAGTGGTAAACTACTGTAGGATTATGATTTGATATGCAAGTATGTGACATACAGCTGAAAATGAATCCAGTATGTTATGGAAAGATACCTACTTACTACTCCCATTTCCACAGGGAGAGCAAATGAAATTCTCTTCTTCCACAAATATTTTCATTACGACCAGAAATAAATACTTAAAACATTAGGTAAATTTAAAATGAGCTGGGGGCTGGGGATTTAGCTCAGCGGCAAAGCGCCTGCCTGACAAGCGCAAGGTCGTGAGTTCGGTTCCCGGTACCAGAGAAAAAAACCAAAAAAAAAAAAATAAAAAAATAAAATAAAATAAAATGAGCTAATGTTTTTCTTACATTAAAGATCATATGATACCATTTTAAGAAAAGGGTTTTTATTTTTTTTCTAAATGTGATAAAATACTTGAGTTCACATTTTAAAGTTGGCGATGAAATCTCAGATTTTTACATTCAGGATTTTAGGCAACAAAAACATGAGTATGGTGAAATCAGTTCACTTTTGTGTTAGTAACAAATTAATATTCAGTGTTTCTGAACAGGCATAAAAGCTTCTTTGCCTCTCTTTAAAAGAAAACACTATTTAATAAATTATATCATAGCCCCAAAAGTATGCTGGAAAAGTATAAAAGGTTAGGGGAAAAAAGAGCTTAGTCCCATTTTTTGGTATGTCCTGAGTCACCATTATTTCTTGTAAGATTATGATTTTTATTATAATTGGTTTAGTTTTAAGATGGCAACATATTAACAAATTATTACTGATATAGGCTTTTCAGTTTGCTCAATATTATGCATTGTAAGTGGAATGAAGCAGCATTTCCAGTCGACAAATGGATCTATGGGTAATGAGGTACCTCTTAAATAAAGCTTGTGACAATTAAACCAGTAAATGGTGGCAATGAGAAAACTATTGACAAAGTACAGCCAGGGAATGTTCATCTCGATATATGCAGGAATCTGTACTTTAAGTAAAAGAATGAATACCTGAAGCAGTACAAATGGTAGCCAGGTACCAAGAAAACAGACAGTGAGCTTGGGCAAGAGTGTTTTTTTAGAGTTTACAGTGTAACTAGGGAGGGATGAAGAAGGAAAGTATAAGACAGTTTCATTCCTATAGGAAGTTACTTGAATGGCCTGTACCAAGGTAATAACTTCTGACCAAGAGGTGATAAAAGCCATAAATAAAATTAGCATCATGGAAAGTGACAGGCAGTAACTCTGAATGCTGACATAGACAGGACATTGGTAAGAATAAATATTCTGTGCCTTTAGGTGTTGGTAGATAGCTGGATCTCCCAAAACATAAGCAAAGACTGAAACCCACATTAAAATTACTGCAAAGAAATAAAATGACTTCTGACATTTAGATGAAAGCTTGGTGAGTTTAGAGAAATTCAGGCAATAATCTACACAAGATACCAAGAAGACTGGATAATGCAAAAAGCCGTAAGTAAAGGAAATAATTTGAGCAAATAGGCAGATATGGTACTTAGTAAACCTAATACCTAAAAGAACAAAATCCCTGAAATAGGATATAATGGAAATGTTTACCAAAAATAAAAAATCAACAAATGCTAATGAAACACAAAAACATTCCATAAAATTTTGACAGGTATTTTTCCTTCTCATTCCTAGTGTGAGGATATTTAGTAATATTTTCCCAAGTATGATCAAAAACAACAGACAAGTAGCATCTAGAGGCTGATTTGTTTGATGTAACTGGTACTGAAAAGAGCAGTTGTCTGAAGAAAAAGGTGTCATATTTTTAAATTTCAAGAAGACCTGCTGAAATACACGTGATAAAATACTGCTTCACTTTATTTTCCATCCCTGCAAAAAAAAAAAAAAAAAAAAATCGGATGTTATTTTGATGCCATCTATTTTAAAAAGCAAGCAATATTTTTAAACCAAAATGTTATGTGTAAGTGACTAACTCCTGTGGTAGGTATAGATTTTAGCGTTTTAAATAGAGAAATACTAATCTACTAAAACCACAACACCTGCCTAGGATAAGGCCCAATAATAAGTTTTCAACCCAGTTCCACTCTGACTCTGGACAGCATTTCCCACTTTCTGTCTTTTTGCCAGTGAAATTTAGAGGCTATGTTTATGGGCCCTTTAGCATACCAGATTTCACATCTTTTTACTTGCAAGATCATCATCAAGGTGAAATCTTTCAGGCCGAAAATGCAAAACAGATGGTCCATCTGACAATAATGGGAACACAGGTAAAGGAAAGAGGGATAAGGATTTACCTGCTGGGTATGATCTTTCAGGTATGGCACCTGAGAGAGGCTACAGAGAAAAAAGAAAGCCTGAGCACCATGAGGAGGGGGTAGGTAAAGGCAAAGGAGTAGGCCAATGAGGCTTGAGTAATAAGTACATCTGAAAGCAGGGAAAGGGGTTTTGAAAGAAATGAGAGAGGAAAAAGGAAAGGATGGAAAGAGACATTTGGGAAATGTGTCCTTAAAATAAGTTGACTTGGTGATATTACTGTAAAACTGTTCAGTCGGTATAAATAACAAACAAAAACAAAACCCTGTAACAAACCTAACCACAAATGTTAGCAACTAGAGATGGGTTAAACACATGGTACATCATTATGATATACTATTATGTAGCTATTAAAAATGATTCTCAGGAGAGGAGGAAGACTTCGTTTCCTACTGAAAACTGTACTTTTAAATACTTCTTAGACTTATTTAATGCTTGTGAGGTTTTCGTATGTTAAAAAATATCAGCTGGGGGTGGTAGCACACACCTGTAAATCCCAGATGCTTTAGAGGTGGAGGCAGGAGGATCACAGGTTTAAGGCCAGCTTTGGCAGCAACTTAGTTGAGATGCCATGTCAAAATAAGGCTGAGGATGTAGAGCTGTTGACTGGTATTGAGTGAGGCCCTGTGTGTGATGCCCAGTACCAGGAAAAACAATCATAATACATTTGGACAAGATGTTAAGGGAAATGCAGGTAATACACTAATTTTTATAAGAAGTTGTACATGGTAAAATTATACTTGGAGGTTCTGTATTTACTAAATTTCACAGAATAAGGAAATACTACATCTGAAAAGTAAAAAGAAATGAATTTGCCTAAAAGCTTATCACTAATGATTACATATCAGCAAAGAGGTAGTGCAGAGAAATTGAAAGTAAAGAAATCAGCACGAGAGGAGGCTATCATCATTGTCAGAGTGGGTCCTCCTCCTCAGGGCCATGTATCCATCTGTCAAACTCGGGAAGGCATACACATAATCTGTTGATACACATCTATATGCAGTTATAAAAATATAGTATTTATTTTCATAAATAGAAAGAAACCACTCAAGTATTTGCCTACATTCCAGTTTTCTCTATACTCACACATACTGTAGTTTAACTTGACCTCATCTGAAAAAGTTCCATCACAGGTTCATGGAACCACGACGCAGATGCATCGCTGCCAACCTGATGACTGCCAAGTGGTGCTACGTGGAGGAGGAGGCCTGGATGCACTGACCAGATGAGGCCTCTTGGGGCCAAGAAAACAATGGGCTTAGTTTTAAACAAGCCAGTTCTGGCTTAAAGTGGGTGTGCATTTATATTTGTACAGTCCAGGTTTTTTAAAAGTGTATCTTTTGGATAAAAGAAGTAAAAAAGAATGACTTGTATCAGATGATTTTATCCTTCATAAGCTCTGAGCAAAATGAAATGAGCGAGGCTGACTAGATTCACGCAGGGATGATCCCCCAAGTTCCCATGTCATCGCTGACTCACATGTGGAGCCAGCCGGAAGGCCAGAATAGCTGACTAGTGTCCTGTAGGGGCTGAGGAAGGTCCACGAAGAGGAAAGAGTCAGCCACAGCCACAGCCACAGCCACCAACGCACTAACCTAGAACCTCTTCAGAAGAGGACTGGATGAAAAAAAAGCTTGAAATGCAATATGTAAGAAAATCACAAAACTGCAAGAAAAACAAAAGCCAGGGCAACTGGCAGCAATCAAAAGGAAGGAGACTGGACATTTTACAAGGGTTCCTGAATCCACAATCATGGAAACCAATTAAAACTTTCTTAGATAAGATGTATTATGTATGTACACCACTTCTCTCATAAACCATTCAAATTCCAGTACTGTCCAGTATTTTGTTCTTTAAACTGGCTCCTTGGTCAAGAGAAAAATCCTTTCAACCAGGCATGGTGGCACACGCCATAATCTCAGTGCTCGCGCGGCTGAGGCAGGATCGCTGTGCGTTGAAGGCCGGCCTGGGCTACAAAGTGAGTTCAAGGGCAGCCTGGACTACATACTGAAACTGTCTCAAAAAGACAAAAAAAAAAAAAAAAAAAAAAAATCCTTTGATTAAAAAAAATCCTTGAAAGATGGTCACAGAAACTATGGGGATTCAGATGTTTATGGAATGTGTGGTTTTGTTCCTGTATGAATTCTAACTACTTATGAATAACTCCCATGCCTAACATGCAACCTAAAAAGTTAATGTAGAAGTCTTTTTTGGTGAACCTGTGTCTTCTCCAGGCTTCACTGTGTGATCTGGCCCAGTTTGAAAGTATACATGGGGCCTCAGAAATAAGCCACAATTTCTTTTTACTGCTATAGCCTATGTTTTCCACTTAATTATTAATTATTAACCCAATTAATTATTTTTCTAAAGAAGTGCTGGGAATTGAACTCCAGGAGTGCTGAGCTTCATTCACAGCCCTTTCTAAATTCTGAGACAGGGGTCTTGCTAAGTTGCCTAGGCTGGCCTTGAACTTGTGAGCCTCTTGCCTCAGCTTCCTGAGTGGCTGGGAGTATAGGCATGTGCTCCAACACCCAGCTAAAACCCAATTAAGTGTTGACGATATATCATACTTACTCTCCAGAGTCTTCCTGACCAGTGATCCTATTTTATTTTGGTTTTGTGATCTTCAGTTATGTCACTGTTGGTTCCTTGCATTTCATTTTGCTATGCTAAAATGCTATGTAAACTGTGTAAAAGACAGAAAACAAAAATCAAGATCAGTAATATCTACCTTAGTAAGTGGAGTTCACATAGTATTACTATTTCCAGATCCCTGCAGAGAACTGTAATCTAAGGGATTAGAACCAGTAACTCACTGCTTATATTCTTATGCTCTTTCCAGCAAAAGGAAGGCAGAGGACATTTAAAGTACATCAAAGATTGAGAGATGGGCACATATAGGATGGAACCTGTTCAAAGAAGTCTTGCTTTACATTGCAAGTTTTACCCCCAGAGTTGAGTGAACTAGTGGTTCTCAAACTTTGGTTTCAAGATCCTTTGACACTTGCTGTATGCTAATATCAATAACATTTTTAATGAAAAATTACTGTATTTTCCTAAACAAGAGTTTCAGTGAAGGGGCACTGTTTCACATTTTGCAGACTGCCTTAGTGTCTGGCTTAATAGCAGACAGCTAAATTTTCATTTAGAGTTAATCAGGATACTTCACGTAACTTCTGGAAAGTCCTCTGCACATTATTGAGAGCTGAGAGTAAAAAGGGTGAATAACTTCAGATACTCTGCTGCCAGGATCAGAAAACTGTGCTGCGCAATCTCATGTACGGTCTTAGAAAAGTTTGATGAAATCATATGCGTCAAACACGATGGGAAGATGAACACAGCTAACAGTAACATTCTGGCCTCCTGTTGCATAGAAAATAGAATTAGCCCTATACCTGCTTTTGTGAGCCTGATGATCGGGAAGAGCCTGTGAAAGAAAAATTTTTAGTGTTGTCAGGTTTTACATACCTTTCAGGCTTCACAACAATCATGAAAATTATGTTGTTTTTCCCCATGAGCAAACAGCTTTGGAGCTATTCTTAGGTAAGCTTTGGAGTTGAGTTCAACCTCGTGTGTGATTTCAAAGCTCATGTTCTTGAGTAAGCCACAACCATGGCTCAACTCACAAGTGGAAATACATAAAGGGACCCGGTTACATACTTAAAAGAGCTTTCTAAAAAAGGACCGTCCAAATTTGACTGCTTATGTTGATTACTGACAGAGGAGATCATGTTGAACTATCCATATAGATAATTTTATTCCTCTAAAAGGTAAATAAAAACTCTTCAAATGTGGTTCTTTTTTGATGGTATATAATTAGACTTTTTTTATATTTCTTAAGTCAGGGTGCTGTGTTAGCCAGACGGTAGATGTGAGGTACCTGTCATTGCTTATGGAGGACAGAATTCAATCATTATTCCTGGTGGCATGACTGGGCAACATAAGCACGTAGTATCTTGGTCAGCTACCATTCTGTTTTGCTTTGAGACAGTGTCTCATTGTGTAGACCAGGCTGGCCTCAAACTTGTAGCTATCCTCCTGCCTCAGCCCCACCCACCCAGTGCTGGGATTACAGGTGTGCACCACCACCCCTGGCAGTTCAACTACCATTTTAAGGATCATTTCAGGCAGAGGGCTGATATCTGAGAACTTATTGGCACCTTCTGATGAACTCAGGAAAGCATCAGTACTAGAAAATTATGAATTAGACCCTAGATGTAATAATAATGGACCATTCTTTTTCAAACAATTTGAAATACAATTCACATATCATAAAATTCATCTACTCAAGTGGAAAATTCAGAGGCAGCAAAATACTCCTAAATGCTACTATGATGGCACAATGGATGATACTGTAGAAGAAAACAACAGGTACTAAAAACTAAATTGGAAAGTAATTCAGAAAAGGTGGACATGCAGCATAAAGTTTTAGGAATACCTTAACTGATTTTTTTGCTTATACCTTACTAATTCTACGCATACAACATGATATAACAAAAAAATTTCTATTAATAAATAAACCTAAATGGGCTCTTCTACTAAGTAAAACAATTCTAAGTAAAAACACTGCATCACCATTTAGCAGGGTATTTTTCCTATCAGTGGGACATAAAATAATGATGTCTTACAATTAATGGCATGTTAAACTAGATGAAATATGACACAGCACTCAGGAGGCTTGAGGCAGGAGGATCGTTGCGAGTTCGAGACCAGCCTGGGCTACAAAGTGAGCTCAAGGTCAGCCTGAACTGCATAGTGAGACCCTGTCTCAAAAAAAAAAAAAAAAAGGACAATAATTTAATAAAATAAGAGTTTAAATTGAGAAATAAATTTGTCCAGAGATATTGTACAACCATTTAAAATAATGTGCTTGAGACTATTTAATGAAGAACTGCTGATAATATAGGGGAAAAAAGCAATATAAAAAACTAAGAATGGCATAATTCAATTTTATTTCAATGTATGTCAGCTAGATGAAAATATACCAAATGTTAACAGTGGTTAGCCTAGGGCAATGTGGTCATATAAAATTTCATTTTATCCCCATTTCCTACTGTTAAAAAACTAATTTTTAATTTTGTAAGTAGATAGCCATTTTAGTAAATAACTATAATACCATTAGTTTATCGACATTATTAGACAGTAATTATACCAATAAATAATCCATGTTAATATTTCCCCAATTGTCCCAATATTGCCCATTATAACTGCTTAAAAATTCACGATCCAATCAAGGATCACAGTTTGTCACCTCTGTTTAGTTTTCTTTAATCTAGAATAGTTCTGACTTGTTTCATTTTGCTTTTGATCCTTTGTGACATAGTTTTGAAGAGTCTAGGCTAGCTGTCTTGTAGACGATCAATTTCGATTATCTCATAGTTTCCTATTTTGTTTTCATTTTGTTTTTCGTTTCTTCACTATTAAACATTTCTGGCAAGAACACCATCCAGATGACATATTCCATTATGACTATTCGTCTCATTACTGGTCATGTGATGTTTGATCACCTGATAAAGTATTTGCCATATTCTCTATTGCAGACATACTGCTTCCCTTTTGTAATCAGTAAGTGTTACAGTAATAGTTTGACACTGCTAGACCATCCTGTTTCACAATAAAGTATCACCTAATAGTTTTAATATCCATTTATCATCTTTGTCTGAATTAATTACTATATGTGGAGTTCCAGCACTGTGACTTTCTAAGTCTAGGATTCAATCTGCTTTTAGAGCTGGAAGTTTTTTTTTCTGGAAAAAAAAGTCAGTGTGGATTCACTGACTTTTATTCAATGTATTCAATCCCCTGCCACCACTGTTCTTCTCAAAGTTTAAAACTTCCTAAGTACTGGGGCTATACCTTAGCAGCAGAGTGTTGCCTTGCATGCATGAGGCACTGGGTTTTGATACCCAGCATGCACCATGAAGTTGGGGAGGGGGCTTCTCAAATTTGTCCCATGCAAGTTCCACAGGCTGGCTCCTGTGTCTTCTTGATATGCCCATATTTATGTACTTGATTTCCTTTCACACCTAGTCACTCCTGCTGTCCCTGAGTTATTTTTCTCATAGAACCTGACTTACAGTTGCTTCCCCGTGACTGGCATAAAATATCCAACACCTGCAAATTAAAAGAGGACAGGTTTATTTTGAGGACAGAGTTTCAGTCCAAAGTTGGCTGGCTTCAAGGCAAAAAGCATGGTGAAAGAACAGAGTAGAGGGCAGTCGCTCACATCATGGCAGCCAAGAAGAGAGGAGAGAGGGGAAGGAAGGCGGAGTGGGAGAGCAAGAAGGGGGAGGGAAAGGAAAAGCCAAGAACAAGAATATACTCTTCAGATCACTCCCCCAGTGACCACCTCCAACCAGGCCCACCCCCTACCAGCACATTCAGCTGCTGAACTCACAATGGATGAATCCAGTCACCTTTCAAACGCGAGAATTTGGGTCATATTTTAGATCTAAACCATAACCTTCCTCCCCTGGCCCCCAAAAGGCTCATATCCACCTCATTATGTAAAATGTATTTAGTCCATCTCTAAGAGTCACAAAAGTCAACAGTTCTAGCACTGCTGAAAAATCTAAGTCCAAAGTCTCCTCTGACTCAAGGCAAACTCTCAGTTGTGAGCCCCAATAACGATGATAATAATAATAATAAAATAATAATAATGGTTAAGCACTTTCAACATACAGTGGCACAGGGTAAACATTTCCATTTCAAAAGGGAGAAATGGTAGGAGAGGATGAAATGGGACCAAAGAAAGACCAAAACCCAGCAGGCCAGACATTAAATCTTGTAGCTTATTGTCCAATAACCAGGGAGGTTTGTGGTGAGACAGGAGCTCCAAATGGTTTGGAGCAGGGTCTGGCCCTGCCCTTAATGGGATAGCCAGTTGCAGCCCTCATGGCCTTTCTCTTGTGCTGGCTCCACTCACTGCCTGCAACTTTCCTCAGCAGACTATCCACAGTCCTGGCATCTCCAACTTCCTGGGGTCTCCAGTGTACTTTTGGCTTCACTTTCACAGGCTCACACACTCAGGAGCACAGTCTGGTCTCCTAGCCCTTCTTAGGTAATCTGGGTGGAGGCCTCCAGACCTCTATCACTCTGCACACCTGAAAAGACAGCAGATGACTCCATAGTCTACACCAGTGGGAGCAGCAACTGGTCTCCCTTAGACCATGGCTGCACTGGCCTCTGCACGCCTAGATGGCTGATCATGCTGAAATGAATTCTGAGAAATCAATTCCCTAGGCAGCCTTTCTTGAGCAAGCAGAGGGTCCTGAAGTACTCTTCTCAAATGAAAAGTTTACAAATTTTGCACCCCTGAGCCTGTGAAGGGTAGGGTCTTTCTGATTCCTGAAACCCCTTCAAACCATCTTTCCTTTGTGCTGATGCAAAATACTTGGCTTGTTTTTAATATTAATATCCTAAGCAGCCATGGATGAGTACCCAACACTGCAGGTGTTCCCTTTCTGATCAAGCTGCAAACTTTTCACATTGCTTTTTACTCCTAATTTTCACTATAGATCTTGCTAAAAGCAGCCAGCAGTACTGATGCTGGAGTTACCAATATCCACGCTACCGCTTTAATGTTGCTGGGCTGCTCTGAAATTTCCACCATTAATTTAGTCCACTGCCCTTACTCTCAGTCTTCTGCAAAGTCTAAGAATATGGGCAAAAGGAAGATGGATTTTC